GGTGCTGCTGGGCGGCTTGGGGCAGGTGCCGGGGTGGGCCGCTGGCGGAGGTAAATACGAAGTGTTGCTGGGGCGTGTGGGGGTGGGGGGTGTGTGCGTGAGCGTGGGGGTGTGTGTGCGCATGCGGGTGGGTGTGTGCGTGGGGGTGGGAGTGAGCCAGTGGCTGAGGCGGCTTGCCTCTCTGCTGCTGCTGCTGCTGCTGCTGCTGCTGCAGGGCAGCGGGGTGTGGAGAGTGTTGCGAATGTGCTACGGGGTACACGGCAGTGTACTGTGGGAGGGGAGAATGAGGGGAGTGAGGAGAAAGGGGGGGGGGGCCCATGCCGGCCAGGTTGGCCATAGCCAGGTTGGCGTAGCGACCTTGCATTGCATGCTGGGAAAGCTGAGCCAGCTGGGAGAGTTGTGCTAACTGCTGCTGCTGCTGCTGCTGGAGCTGCGTTTGGGGGGGCCGCTTGGGCAAAGAACCTCTTTGAATAGTGTGATGCAGAGGGGGAGGTGGCGCCTGGCCAGGAGGGGGTCCGGAGGGGATGGTTTGCACGTGGTAGCGGTGGTGATGATGGTAGGGTGGGGGTGGTTGACTGGAGTTGGCCGACTGTCCCCCAGCGCCCCCTGTGCCACTGTGGCAGTACTGCGCGTGCAGGGCCTGGATCTTGGACTGGCCGCCCTCGCTCTGGCTGAGCGAGGACGGGGAGTGAGGAGGGGGTCCTCCAGTAGTCGGTGGAGGCACGGGGGCGGGGTAGTGTGGCCCCGGGGGGATAATGGGCCCCGGTTTGGAACGTTTCGTCCCAAAGAGAGAGCCCAGGAAGGAGCCCGAACTGCTGACCCCAGTTCCGCTCCCCCCACCCCCTCCGCTGTTGTTGTTGCTGCTGCTGGTCCCCCCAGCAGCGGACTGTTGCCCCGGCCCACCCCCCACCCCCACTCCGGGGCTCAGGATGGGGCGGTGAGGCCGGTATTCCTCGAGTCCAAAGCAGCCGGGCACGCCCCCCACCGGCAGCCTCTGGTGAGGGCGGGGGCTGCTAATAATGGAGCCCTGCGAGCGAGGGAGCGAGAGAGAGAGAGAGAGAGAGAGAGAGAGCAACATGAGGGAGAGGTTGAAGGGCATAACGGGAAGGTTAGAGAAGAAGAAAGAGGGAGAGAAGGAGGAAAACGAGGGTTAATACCCACAGACCTGAACACCACCCCAGACACCGCCACAGAATACACAGTGGGCTGGAATCGTTTTAAAGAAGACATAGGGTGAACACATGCCACACCAAACCACAGCTTCGACACCAGCCATCACAGCACCACGGCAACCACTGGTAAAACAACGGCTCATCAGTTAATTATCAAACCAAAAAAAAACAACAAATGAAACAGAAACCCCGACAGCAATCAAATGAAGACGCTGTAAGAGCATGCAGAGTCATTCCACACCACTAGTGCACAGTGACACTGACACAGGCCAGACGGCATGCTGGGAACATGGAGGCTCCTGTTTATGGTGGTGCGGGGGGGGGGGGAGACAGGACCCCCCCACTTACTTCAATGGTACTGTCCAGGGATCCCACGCTGTTCCGGCGGCCGCGCTTCCCTGCACCCAACCAGGGAGAACCAGGTTAGGATACGGGGCCCTCTAGGGCCACAGCTGACCGGCCAACACTGACCACTCTTACACACGCGCGCGCCCTCCTGAGCTGTCACAGCGGCCTGAAGCGAGCCGCCGCTGTCCTGCTCCATTTCGGCCCTTAACCTCCCGTCCCGCGCGCCCACCCTGCGACTGAACCCTGCGCCAGCGTTCCCACGGGAGATCTCTCCAGCTCCGCCTCGGGTACTCCCTTTTGTCAGTTCTACTTTCCTTGACGTTTCCACGACAGCGCGGTACGTCTGCAGCTCTCCAGGAGGACCGTGAGGCCTAATATACCGTCCTCTTCCAATATCCACTTCGTCCCATATGGGGTCACTGTACGCCAGAGCTTAACTCGGCAGAGTGTGGGCACAAGGCCGGATACGCCCAGACTGGGATTTCAGTCCATTACGGGGCACTCACAAACACACACACTGGACAATTTAGAGGCACCAGTTAGTCCAGGCAGCATGTTTTCGGATTTGAGGAAGAAAACGGAGAACTCCCTGAATCCCCACTCACTCGCAGGGAGAACGCGCAGACAGCAGGCACGCAGAAGAATATAAAGTATTGTCATCCCAGCTTCGGTTTACTGTGAATTGCAAACTTTTTCTGCCAACTACCGAATTTTCATGATGGACCCCCCCTGATCATGAGTGTTTCAAAACAAGGATTGTAAAGGTTTTTGTAACACGCCAAAAAACAAAAGGCCCACCAGTTAAATGAGAATGATTCTGTATGAAAACACACAGTTGAATTTTTAGTTGTCAGAAATACACCCTTCTTTCACTGCTGTGCTCTGCAGTACTGCCACCACACACCAGGTGGAGCCAGAGCACAGTCCTGCTTCTCTGCTGCAGGCAGAGATGTTGAATCGTGGCTCCTGCCTGTCAGGGCCGGGGGGGGGGGGCTGGTGCGAGTGCGTCGCCCTCACCTGTCTCGGAGAGGTCTCGCAGGGAAGAGCTGAGCGCGGTGCGCTTCAGGCCCTCTCCGGCCGTGTAGCTGTCATCCAGGCTGGGCCTTCCCAGGGTGCCGTTCACAGCCTCGCTCTTCACACCCCCTCCCACGGGACCACTGCTCACCAGGCTGGGCCTCATCACACCCTTCTGCTTCTCCAGTTCCGCTACAGAGGGAGAGCAGGGAGAGCATCACCCCCACCCGAGACCAAATGCGTTAAATCACAGAGGAGACAAAAGAGGGACAGTGTACTAACAAGAGAGATAAAAAGGAGACTGAGAGTCCTGAGTGTTGTGCACACACACTCCAGAGCTATTACACCGGCCTGTGACTATACTGTCATTATTTCGTGTTTTGTAATCGTGCACATTGTGTGGTTTTGTATCTTGTACTTTGCATGTCCCGAGAGAACGGGACAAATAAAAATCCCAGTGTACAGTACGCGCACATATGGCAAGTAAACTCCTTTCTCTCTCTTTCTCTCTGCCGTCCTTAAACCACAATGTGAGAGCACGATTTCCTGCTAACCCACAATACAAACGCACAAGAGTCTCACTTATCTCAATTCATTGAACCAGTAGTTTAAGGTGAAAAGACATTTACCCGTAGAGTAATTTAAAAACAATTTCGAGGGGAAAGTGTGCATGTCGTGAGTGAGACTGGCAGTGTAACTGTGCAGGCTGTGGACAGTGAAATTTCAAGCACTGACTGAGTTTAGAGAAGAACTAATACAAACACAGAATAATCTGAGCCATACGAACAGCACTGCAAGCCCCCCTGTATCACTACCAGGACCGAGTCCCGAGTTTCCAGTTCCTAACCGCAGAGAGACTCACACTCCACTCTGTATTTCTCCATCTCCTGCACCTCGGCGATGCTCTCCCGCAGGTCGCTGGAGAAGCGTGTGCGGTCCTGCTGGCTGGGGGCGTTGAAGACAATAAGCACCTTCCTCTCCCCGCCTGGGATCGCCGAGGTCAGCCGGATTCCGTGGGGGTAGTCTGAGGACACGGGAAAGCACGCCGTACCGCACAGGCACGCACACACACAGGGGGTTCGTTAGCCAGCGTTTGAACAAAAACACAGAGCAGGTGCCCTGTACTATACTTCCTAACTTTCAATTCTCCAAAGATCTGACTTTGGTGTAAAAGACCTACAAACTGAATATGCTCCAACTCCCACAGAACTGAAAACGCTTTGATTTAGATACCGCAGAAGATGTTGCCTGACCAAACAGGGGTAAAAACTTCATTTTACTGAACGCCATCCTTTGCTCATTCTTTTATACTAACACAGAGAAATTCTGACGCAGCTGTGCAACAGAACTTTCAGAGGTGCAAACTCTCAAGCTATTAGATCAGGCGCGGTTTCAGCACCCAGACACCCATGAGCTTCTGCCTAATTTCCTTTCAAGTACAACTGGCTAGATTACAAATCTTTACACAATCTTGCACATACTCATTATAAGATGGACTCCGATAAAAATCAGCTTGTAGTCTTGCTGCAGAAGGTCTTGAGAAGTGTTATGCACCCAGACCAATATGCATACATGCAGAAAAACTGTGTGACTTTAAGGCACTTCTGTTCCATTCTGTCTTTCCTTCCTCTTCTATCTTATCCCATGCATACAAAGGCACCTATGGCAGTGCTCAGGTGTGTAGGAAATGATCAAAACATTAACACGATAGATTTATCTACAAGTGAGAGAAATCAAAGTTGTGTTGTCTCTTACAGGAGTTCTGGAACAGGTGCACCTGCATCTCCACTAGAGGAAATGACTGCCTGAAGCTGTATGTCACTGAGGTCTTCTTCTTCTGAAAGATCTTAGTCACCTGGACAACAGGAGAGAAAGAGACAGTGTCTAGTGAGACAATGGGCCAGGGGGAAAAGCTGAAGGTTTGGTGTTCATGGGCCCTAGGCACTTTCACTCCGAAGTGTACAAAAAGAGGGGTCAACACCCTCTTGAATTACGTCGATCGACATGATGCTGACCGGGGAATTTGCACAGCATGAAGCTCGCACTCCCCTGATGTGCCAGCAACAACAGGTTTATTTACCTCTGCCCAGACTTTGACAGACAGAGACTGAAACTCCTTGAAGGGGTTACACACACACAGGGTAAGGATTAGGGAGGATAAAACACTGACAACTATTTACAATGGCTGCTCATAAACTCTCTAGCTATTTACACTGCCAGGTCAATCTCTGGTCGACAGGCTGACCTCAAGTCCAGCCCCATGGCTGCTGCCCCTAGCCTGCCTTGCGGGTGCATAGTTAAGGGGAGGTGCAGCCGCTAAAGAGACCAGTGTGGGCGCCCCACTATTCTAATGCTGAACCCTGTGATTGATGGAGCGAGTCGAGCAACCATCACTTCTAGTTTCCAGAACAGCCGCTAGAGGGCATATGATTATTGATCTGGAGCTCCTAGAGTCGATCGCAAGCATGTTGTTTCAGCTCGTCTTTTGTTAGTCACTAGTGTTTCCCTCCTTCATAGGCCCTAAAAATGTCACTTACAGTTCACCCAGGGAGAGTGTGCAGCTCTCACAGCTCACCCAGGGAGAGTGTGCAGCTCTCACAGCTCACCCAGGGAGAGTGTGCAGCTCCCACAGCTCACCCAGGGAGACTGTGCAGCACCCACAGCTCACCCAGGGAGACTGTGCAGCACTCACAGCTCACCCAGGGAGAGTGTGCAGCTCTCACAGCTCACCCAGGAGTACCTAGGAGGAGACTGTGCAGTGAGGTAAATGGCACAGTGATTCTCACCACGAGCAGGTCATTGAAAAGGAAGACTTCTCTCTGGTGAACGCCACTCCGCTGGGGCCTGTTGGGATCAGGGACCTCATACAGCTGACAGCAGCACACCAGCCGGCGGTGGGGCAGGGACAGCACCTGGATTCACACACGGGCAGAAACTCATTAATGCCCACACCTCGCCTCAGTCACCGTCACAGTAATACCCACACCACACGAGAGACGCACCTCGCCTCAGTC